GGGTGATGTAATGCGCTCTGGGCCCTTACAGGGCTGGAGGGCTCCCCTCGCCTGCCTGGGGGCAGGAGGGGGAGAGCCCTCCACACTATAGTCTGTACACACTCTGCACGGGTCAGTGTCTGAGTGGGGGGACATAGGGGGCAATTGCGCTCTCCCCGTGCTCATTAGGGACTCAGGAGAGAGGGTGCATAGTGAACCCATACAGGGCTGCGGACTTTCTCTGTCTGCCTATAGGCGGACGGGGGGAGCCCTCAGCACTGTTTTTCGGGCACACTTTTTGCGAGGTAAGCGCGGCAGAGTGTGCTCGGTCAGCCGCAGCACAGACTTCTCTGTGGAGATGTGGAGACTAGATGGCGGCGCGAGCAGTCGCAGCGGCCCCTCGCGGTCTAGAAAAAACAGTGTTTTCGTCTTGTTCGTCAGATCTGTCGAGTTTGTCACTATGTTCGTCGTCTCCGTTGGACTTATACCGTAAAGGACAACAATACAGCTGTGAGTTTCTTCTTGGAAGAAGATCAACTTTCTTCAATTTGGAAGCTAAACTCGTAGAGGAACTCAGCCGCCTGGAGCTCCTCTGCTACCCGTCTCGCGTCAAGCCCCACCCGGAAAGGAGACGCTGCCGACGATGTGAGAGGAAGCAAAAGAGGGGGAAACGTGGAGGTATCCAGGCTAGGCTAGAGGCTAGCCCACACAAGCCGGCAATTCCATCACTACTTCTGGCAAATGTCCACTCACTGGATAGACAACATACGCCTGCTACGATCAACCCAGCGAAAGGTGAGAGACTGCTGTGTTTACGTGTTCACGGAAACATGGCTCCACAACAACATCCCTGACTCCGCTATTCAGCTAGACAAGCTAACAAGCTACCGAGCAGACAGGAACAAAGATAACGGGGGAAAGAAGACTCGCGGCTGCGGTGTGTGTGTGTACATCAGTGACGCTTGGTGCCGAGACACTGTTGTTGTTAGCAAACACTGCTCGCCACTGGTGGAATTTATGGTTCTAAAATGCCGTCCTTTTTACCTGCCGAGGGAGTTTACAGCGATTCTTGTGGCGGCTGTTTACCTCCCGCCTAACCCCAGTAGCGAGGGTAAAGAGGAGGCACTCGGTGAACTGTACAGAACCATCAGTGAGCAACAGACAGCACACCCAGACGGCCTACTCATCGTAGCTGGAGACTTCAACCACGCTAACTTAAAAACTGTGCTGCCTAAAATATATCAGCATGTTGTTTTTCCAACCAGGGGGAAAAACACATTAGACCTGGTCTACACCAACATCAAGGGACAACCCAGTCTCACGGCATTTCGTGTTATTAGTCACGAAATTAATTTAATCTATTGATTCGTGTTCACCAACACGATTTTCACCTTTTTTTCGTGTCACACAGAACGATTTTAAATGCAATGTATTTCTATTGGTAGTATGTTTCGTGCCTGCAACACGTCTTTTTGTCCGGTCGGGTCTTGGAAGACCAGAAGCTGTGTGGTTCATAAAAACATGTTCTTACTCAATATCTTACCCTAAGCCTAACCCTATCCCTTTTATTTTAAATTGTATAATGTCTGAGTTTTTTTGCCGTCAGTGAGGAAAAGAAATGTCTCAGAGCCTCAGAATACTGACATCTGTATTTTATGTCATCTTTTTTTCCTTCTAATTTGTTATTATTTGGTGCAGGCACGAAACATACTACCAATATAAATACATTGCTTCTAAAATCGTTCTGTGTCAGAATACTTAAATCTGTATTTTTTTAAATGTCTTTTTCCTTCTAATTTGTTATTATTTACATTGCTTTTAAAATCGTTCTGTGTGACACGAAAAAAATGGCGAAATCGTGTTGGTGAACACGAATCAATAGATTAATTTCGTGACTATAACACGAAATGCCGTGAGACTGTGTTGCAAGGGAGCATACAAGGCATCCCCCCTCCCCCACATCGGCCTCTCTGACCACCTCACTGTTCTGCTGGAACCTGCCTACAGACCAAGGGTAAAAGCCACCAAACCGGTTTCAAAACAGGTTCGGGTGTGGTCAGAGGACAGCACAGCTGCACTCAGAGACTGCTTTGACACTACAGACTGGGACATGTTCAAGCAGGCAGCCACATACAACCATCACACCGACATACAAGAATACACAGAGACAGTCACGGGCTACATCACCAAGTGCATTGACGATGTGACACAAAACAGAGCCATCACCATCCGGGCTAACCAGAAGCCATGGCTGACAGGGGAGGTCCACACGCTGCTGAAGGCCCGCAACATCGCCTTCAGAGCTGGAGATCCAGCTGGGCTGAAAGCAGCCAGGGCTGACCTGTCCCGTGGCATCAGGAAAGCAAAACAAGAATACACCCGAGAAATTACAGGACACTTCAAGGATAGCGGGGACTCACGGAGCCTGTGGCAGGGCATAAGGACCCTAACGGACTACAAACTACCGCCACAGACCTGTGACAGTCATACCTCCCTGCTCAACAACCTCAACGGCTTCTTTGCACGTTTTGAAGCACAGAACAACACACCTGCGCAGAAAACAACCCCCCCCACCGACGACCAGGCTTTGCGTCTTTCACCAGCCAGTGTGAGGAGCACACTGCTGAGGATTAACCCCCGCAAGGCTGCAGGACCTGACAACATTCCTGGTCGTGTGCTGAAGGACTGCGCGGAAGAGCTCACAGATGTCCTTACAGACATTTTTAACATCTCCCTGAGCCAGGCTGTTGTTCCCTCGTGCTTCAAGGAAACCACCATCATTCCAGTGCCAAAGAAGTCATCTCCATCCGGCTTCAACGACTACCGCCCCGTCGCACTAACCTCTACCATCATGAAGTGCTTCGAAAGGCTGGTCATGAAGCACATCAAATCCACCCTCCCCCCATCGCTGGACCCGTTTCAGTTTGCCTACCGAGCTAAACGGTCCACAGAGGATGCAATCTCCTCCGCTCTCCACCCAGCCCTCACACACTTGGACACTAACACTAAGGCTAAGGACCCTTATGTCAGAATGCTATTCATAGACTTCAGCTCAGCATTCAACACCATCATCCCCCAGCAGCTTGTACAACAACTTACAGACCTGGGCCTCAGCCCCTCTCTCTGCAACTGGTTGCTGGACTTCCTCACAGAGAGACCACAAGCTGTACGGGTCAACAATAACACCTCAGACACCCTCATACTGAGCACGGGGGCCCCCCAAGGATGTGTGCTCAGCCCCCTTCTCTTCACTCTGCTGACCCACGACTGCAAACCCACCTTCAGCACCAACCACATCGTGAAGTTTGCAGACGACACTACTGTGGTGGGTCTCATCAGTAACAACGATGAGACTAACTACAGGAAGGAAGTGAACCAGCTGTCCCTGTGGTGCAAAAACAACAACCTCTTCCTCAACCTGGAGAAAACAAAGGAGATAGTTGTTGACTTCAGGAGAACCCACCGCCGACCCCCACTCCCCCTGACCATCAACGGCGCTGCTGTGACGCAGGTGACCAGCACCAAATTCCTTGGTGTGACCATCACTGAGGACCTCACCTGGAAAACCAACACCACCGCTCTAGCGAGAAAAGCCCAGCAGCGCCTGTACTTCATCCGAAAGCTCAAGCGAGTCGGAGCATCACCCCCCATCATGCTCTCCTTCTACCGAGGCGCCACCGAGAGCATCCTCAGCAGCTGCATCACGCTGTGGTTCGGAAGCTGCACCGCCACCGACCGCAAGAGCCTGCAGCGCATTGTGAACTCTGCCCAGAGGATCATCGGTGCCTCACTCCCCTCACTACAGGACATATACAACACCCGCCTCACCCGCAAAGCACTCAGCATTGTGGGTGACTCCACCCACCCCTCCAACAGCCTCTTCAGCCTCCTGCCTTCAGGAAGAAGGTTCCTCAGCCTCAGCTCGCGCACCTCCAGGCTGGGCAACAGCTTCCTCCACCAGGCGGTCAGGCTGCTGAACTCTCTCCCCTCCCTCCATCTCTTCCGCCCTCTGACATCTCTCCCCTGAACTCTCCACGCTGCCTCCGACCTTTCTCCCCTGCCCCAAATGGTCCTGGACTCTAAACCCCTAACTCACTTTTCTGCCCATCTCCGCTGCTACTGCACTGAAACTGTACTTTTGAACACTTAAATTATATTATTAACATTTTAAACTGTATACCCCGGTTATCTAGGCCCTTTGTTTTGTTTAATGTATACCATGTTTATCTAGGCCTTTTTTGTTTTATGTATATATGTCACACTGTAGGCCTGCGGGAAACGATATTTCGATATTTCTGGATGTACAACATGTAGAATTATTGACAAAAAAGCTGACTTTGACTTTTGACTTTGACTTTTGAGGTGAGTGAGGCGCAGCGGCTGCTAAAGCCGGTCAGGGACAGTGAGGTGGAACGGTGTGCTGGACGACAGTGCGTGCATACATCGGGGCTCCGCCCACTGTACCCATGGATTCAGTAGAGAGCCTGTGAGAGATATAACGCCGGGTTACGTATTGTAACCCTTGTTATATTAACACAGGCGGAGCCCTCTACTCGGGGGCACTGTCTGTCCTATACCGCTCGCTGAAGAGTGGTGTAGGATGATGGTCAGGAGGCGAGGCCTCCTTTAATACGGAAGTGAGATGTGCGCGCATTCAGGCCGGCTACGTCTTTAGAAATCTCAGTAGGTGAATGCTTGCATGATAAGGTAGTACCCATAGTGTCCAGTAGAGGGCGGAGCCTGTGTTAATATAACAAGGGTTACAATACGTAACCCGGCGTTTTTGTTTAGCTAAATGCTATGATGGCGAAGCAACTTTTCTTGTTGACTATTTTAGTTTTTTTGTTGCACAAAATGTTATTTATTTTCAATATAAAGAAATGTATATAAATATACTATATATAATTGGCCTTTTTATGTGATTATGATATCTCAGTGTGGCCTTTAGTGGAATTGAGTTTGACACGCCTGATCTAACTTCTGGTGAATTTTGGAGAAATCTACAGACGTTCTGTTCTAAGGTCGAATCGATGTGGGGGAGATCCAGCACTCACTGCACAGGCTGGGTGTGGAGGTCAGCATGGAGCAGGCCTCCAGGATCCTGCAGAGGTACACAGTTAGAAAGTACCAGAAACAAGTTCATATTAGAGCCATCTTAAACCGCTCAAAAATCACCCATAACTCTTATCTTTAATAATGATGTTTGATGTGTTCTCTACATATACTCTATATGTAAAGGTCCTCTAAAGAAAATGTCACATTATTTCTGTGTGTGGTTTGTAAAAACCTGGTAAAACACAAAGGTGCTCAATATCTGAGATCGTTGACATGTTTTTTTCCTGATTAGACACTGCATTCAACTGTGTGTGTGTACAGGCTGTGCAGGGTTGACATCTGTTTGACCCAAAAATAAAAACACATGTCAGGGTTCAAACTGACAAGTCAGGTTTATATTGCAAATGAAATGATAGCAGTGGGAATGAGGAACATAAGAGTATCTAGTACCTTGTCATCTGAGGGGTTGCATGTTTCTGTTTGAGAAGCAGAATAATGATTTTGTGAGTGTTCTGCTGATGGCCCTGTATGAGTTCTAATTCTCCGGTCTTACTCTGTCTCTCCCACACAGTATGGACAGGGACGGCACCATGACTATTAACTGGAATGAATGGCGAGATCACTTCCTGTTCAACCCTTTCCACAACATGGAGGAGATTGTCCACTACTGGAAACACTCCCATGTGAGTGACCAGCTTTCAGTAATTATGCACTTCATAATCATGTCAGTATTAACATCTTTACATGTAGTGTGCTCTGTAGTGATGCAGCATGTATGGAAGGTGGCAGTGCAGAAGTTGAAACTCTATAATGTAATGTTTTATTTTAGGGAACGTTTTACAATAAGCATGGCTCAAAGGGATAGTTTGGATGTTTTGAAGTGGGGTTGTATGAGATACTTATCTACAGTCAGAATATGACCTATAGTGTGTCACAGTTGCTATCCTATATTTAGAATATTGTCACCTCAACACCAGAGAGTGGAGCCAAAGCCACCATCCTCTATTGGGAGAAAACAGTCATTTTACAATCCACTTTATTTATATAGCACATATTAAAAACAGAGGGTTTCACAGCAGACATAACATTATAATAAAATATAATATTACAATAATAGATAAAAGGCACACATAAGAATAGATAAAAAAGCATACATAAGAATAGATAAAAGGCACATAAGGGCTATGGACAGACAAATAAAAGCATAACATTCGATAAAACAGCTCAAACTGACTCAAAAGCGAGGGAAAAGAGGTGGGTCTTCAGACGGGACTTAAAAGTTTGAAGGGTGGGCGACAATTTGACATGGGGGGGGCAGGTCGTTCCAGATCCTGGGGGCTACCGCTTTTACCTTGCAGAACACTGGGAATGCTTCTCTTTTTCCTCGGTCAGTACGTTAGTTAGTTATTATGTGACGTGGGGGACTTCTTATTTCACCAAATTAACCCAAAAACCTAAAAAAAGTAACAGATTGAGGCAGCTGCCAGTTTAGCTTTGTGTTCCATAAGGTAAAATAAAAACTGTTTGCATTGCTAGAGGCTTTAAAGACAGAATATATGGATATAGTGTCTTCAGTGCCCCGTCTAAAAAAGGGTCGTCGTATGGCAAGGTAAAGCAGTTAATACAGTCTAAATATAGCATACCCTTCAATTAAAATAAGATAAACCCAGAATATCCCTTTGAGGATACCCCCTCCTGGAAATAAATACAGATGGGCCCTTTATTAATTATAGATGTATGACATCGGGGAACATCTGACAGTACCGGATGAGTTCTCGGAGAAGGAGCGGCGGTCCGGTCTGGTGTGGAGGCAGCTGGTTGCCGGGGCGATGGCGGGGGCGGTGTCCCGGACAGGAACCGCTCCTCTGGACCGCCTGAAGGTCTACCTGCAGGTAAAGACCAGGGTTTAGGAACTGTTGCGCATTGTGTGAGCAATGTATTTGATCAGAAATAGGAAAATCCTTTAACTGACAAGAAGTATAAAATAAACAATTGTTTGTATTCTACATCTCTTGCATGGTTTAGTTTATTCTATGAGATTTGAATGATAGATTCCAAGTTTAGCACCTTTTAGTTAATTGATACTTCAGAGACGAGACCTGAAGCTGCATTTCATCACAGTGAGAATATATATGTATTATTTATTTAGGAGGAAACAGTTGGACACCAATATTTTGTATTCCTGTGGAAACTGACACAGCGAGCAAGATGTCAGATACTAAATATTAGTGAAAGCAATGTTGTTGAAACTTCCACCTAGCTCACTCTATCCAACAACACTGGGGGGTTGGATGTACACACCGTTAAGGTTAAGGTTATTTAAGGTAAGTTTATTTATATAGTACATTTTCAGACACAGAGGCAATTCAAAGTGCTATACATCAACATGAACTCACTGATAAAGAAGATTGACCTGGCAGTATGTGTGTGTTCAGGTGCACGGCTCTACGTCTCGAGGGGTTAACCTGTGGTCCGGCCTGAGGGGGATGGTCCGAGAGGGGGGGGTCTCCTCACTGTGGAGGGGAAACGGCATCAATGTCCTCAAGATCGCCCCGGAATCTGCCATTAAGTTCATGGCCTATGAACAGGTCAGTGCTTCCAAATAGTCAATACAAATGCTACCAATCTATATTAAAACAAAACAAAAGTATACATTCTTAACACTTACACTGTAAATACACTGCCCGTCCAAATAAAAGTTTCAAACTCTAATATTTAATGGACCACTTTTAGCTTTGAGTACGGCACATAGTCGGCGTGGCATTGATCGATAAGCTTCTGCTATGTCACAACATGTATTTCTGTCCAGAGTTGCATTCATTTTCCGCCAAGATCTTGTACTGATGATGGGGGAGTCGCACCGCTCCCTGAACCCCTCATTCACAATGTGAGCCCCATGAATCCTGTCATGCCATCTTGGCATATGCCCGTGCCATCAGGGAAGAAAAACTCCATTGATGTTAGACCTGGTCATTCAGTATATTCAGTCAGCTGACCTCTCTTTGAGAACATAGCTGAACCTAGACCTGGCCAACTGCAGCAACCCCAGACCATAACACTGCCCCCACAGGCTTGTATGGTAGGCACTAGGCATGATGGGTACATCACTTCATCCGCCTCTCTTCTTACCCTGATGCGCCCATCACTCTGGAACAGGGTAAAACTGGATTCATTGATTTGGTTTAAATAATGCTAAAACATTTGACAGTTCTTAACTCCTTTTACTAGTTCCAATCTCCTTAGTTGTTTTCTTTGCTTGATGCAGGCCAATCATTTGACCCTTCTGAAAATGACTAACAACCTTTCCACAGGATATGTCTTCCAACAGGGTTGTTTAATAAGTGAGAAGCTAAGCACAGCTAGGATTAAATAACTTGTTGCCAGCTAAAACACACAGTATGAATCACTGCAGTAATTATCCAATGGAAGGCTCTTACTGATTTGCTTAGTTAAATCAAGTTGATGACTTGTTTTGGACGGGCAGTGTACACTTTTGTAAGTTGCTTGGAATGTCAAATAGAAATGGCTATTTAGGGTAATTCCTAATGGCCTTAGATGGAGCGACCCTAACATCTTCCATGGCTGATTCCTTCCTGTTCCTTCTCTACTCTAGATCAAGTGGATGATTCGAGGAAGGAAAGAGGGGGGGGGTTTGAGGGTTCATGAGAGGTTCATTGCTGGTTCTCTGGCAGGAGCCACCGCCCAGACCATCATCTACCCGCTGGAGGTCAGTTTGAAATGTGTAATTGGAAGATTCATAAAATGAGGTTGGATGGCCAATTTGAAATCTCTCGCTGCTTTCTGAAGTTTAAAACTGTTTGATTTCACTTTCGAGTAAGGATGTCTGGAGCTGCTTTAAGTTTAGCATTCTGACCATCGGCTCCCTACTCATTCTCTCAATGAGCGGATGGAAAATGGGAAATCTTAATTTTTTCTTTGTATATGAAAGAACAGAAAAATGTAGATATATCTCCTTGTCCGATTGAAGATTACTCTCTTGCACCTATCATTCCTCACCCTCTCTCTTTAACGTGTCTCTCCCGCTCTGTTGTTAGGTTCTGAAGACGCGTCTGACTTTGAGGAAGACGGGACAGTACTCGGGGATGGCTGACTGTGCCAGACAGATCCTGACAAAGGAGGGGGTCCGGGCGTTCTACAGGGGCTACCTGCCAAACACACTGGGCATCATCCCCTACGCTGGCATCGACCTGGCAGTGTATGAGGTGTGTGTGCCTGCAGTTTGATTTCCTTTTACATGTTATTCAGCCACTCTTCCAAAATAAGTACATTTTGGTGGAAACTACACAAGAGTACCATAGGGTCTTGAACTCATTATAAATACAATTCTGGTTTTGTTCAAAGTATATCAATGCCCCCAGAATTAACTCTTTATTTTATACTTTTATTGTCAACAAATCCTATGAAAGACCACAACCAACAATATATGAGTCTACTCTCAATACTTCTAGTCTTCCCAACCTGTCTATGGCACTCAGTTCTAATTCATTTGTCGTAATTCTTTCAAATCCATAACTATAGAGTTGAATGAATAAAGGCTCAGTTCTTTCATTAGTGCAATCTGGAGGGCTAGTGAGTATTTCTTCCAGCAGGACAGTGTGGGATTGAGTTGAAATAAACTCCAGTGTGTTTTGGTCTTCTAGTTTTTGGCCAACAATGGAGCTTTATGACCCCAGTTTATTTAGTATAGTTTTAGTTATATATAACTATGCAATTAAGCATCAATATCTTATTAATACTAATATACAACTGTATTTATCGTAATTGACATGTTATTATTTCAGTTGAATGTGCACATTTTTATTTTGTACTTCTTATTTTAATTTAAATATTTTGATTACATTTTAATTTAATAAATGTTTTGTTTATTTCCTTCTGAAATGAAGCAACTATGAGGAAACTTAATTCCTCCCCTGGATAAATTAAAGTATTCTGACCCATTCTTCCAAGAACATTGAAGTGTAAAAGAGCCTGATTATATTATTTTCTTGCACACTGTATCTCTTTTCATGACAATACAGCAACCAAGAACGTCCAGAGCCAGTTGAAGGCCATTCAGTTGTCAGATCATATTAAAATATCACCAGCCTTATGCTTTAAATATATGTTTACAGTGAAACTCTCCCGTCCTTCCTGAAATGTTAGACGGATAAATAATCTTTGCAGTAGGATTCCAGTAATCACAGCTTTGCAGTACAAATGTCATAAAACTGAGGAACTCAGCTAAAATCATACCCAAGTGTCCAGCCCCTTATAAAATACAATTTCATACAATTTGAAGTAGATGAATTGTAATTAATACCTCTCTCTTCCCTTTCATTATTTGTATTTCCTCTTATATCCTACTTTCCTCGTCTCTTCTCCTCTATTTGTCAAACTCTTTCCATGCTCTCAGACTCTGAAGAACGCCTGGCTGCAGAGGAACGCTGCAGACTCAGCAGATCCAGGAGTGTTGGTTCTGCTGGGCTGTGGAACCATCTCCAGCACCTGCGGCCAGCTGGCCTCCTACCCCCTGGCTCTGATCCGCACACGCATGCAGGCCCAGGGTGAGACAGGCTGTAATCAGACATCCACACACACTGAGAATGAACAATGTTCCAGCAATAACCCCCATTGTCCCTCTTCTTTCAGCCGCACATGAGGGCAAACCCAAGCTGACCATGGTGGGCCAGTTTAAACACATCATATCCCATGAAGGAGTACCAGGACTGTATCGAGGACTCACCCCCAACTTCCTCAAAGTCATTCCAGCTGTCAGCATCTCCTACGTGGTGTACGAGCACATGAAGAAAGTTCTCGGGGTGGCTTACTAGACGGAGAAAAAAATAATAGACATTTTAATAAATTGTTGGTCCAAAGACACTAAGTAATACGGTACAGGAGCTAGTTTTACTGATATCGGGTCCCTTATATGTTATATATTATTATTATTAATGTTAACGATGCCATGATCTTAGGGCAGGAATACCGTGAACATAGTTAACGTGACAGAGGAATAAATACACACATACACCATCAGCTTTGCTTCAACCGGAAGTGACACGTTTTATTGCGCATGTCCCTTTTATCACGGGAATACAGGAAGTGATTAGTATAAGAGTATTAAATAAACAAATTCATATATTACAATTCATAATTCAACACCCCCACTTACTCTTATACTGCACAATTTCTCAACATGAATTCAAATGTAAACACCTTATACACCTGCACAATAACACAGTGTTTGAAACTTCTGGGGTTATTTACATTCCAAACAAATACTTTACAAATGTCTCACTTTTGACCTTTGTTGCAGGCTTAGTGAAAATATCAGCAACCATATCCGCTGTAGGGCAATAGTCAATGGTTATCATGTTATCACTCAGTACAGTTGGAACAAAATGATACTTGATATCCACATGTTTACATCGTTGACGACATACTGGGTTCTTGGATAGAGCGCACCCTGGTTATCTTCAAAGATGTTCACAGGAGTATATTGACCCTCATTATCCATGCTCTCTATTAGCTGCACAAGATACAAACTCTCTTGTGCGGTGGCAGCCAGTGCCATGTACTCTGCCTCACATGTCGACAAAGCTACTGTTTGCTGTTTCTTTGATCTCCAAGAAATAACAGGCCCATTGCTAGTTAGACTAAAACAGTACCCTGTTATACTCCGTCTGTCATTTTGGTCTGTTGCCCAATCTGCATCACAGTATGCAACAAGTTTCAGTTTTTCATCTTGTTGTTTAAAACATAGCTCCTGATTAATTGTGCCCTTTAAGTACCTCAATACATGTTTAGCAGTTAACCAGTGTTGTTCTTTTGGCTCTGAAAAATACTGTGACAGTTTACTGACTATCCAACTTAGATCAGGCCGTGTAGATGTCATTAAATATATTAAGCTGCCTACCACTTCACGATATTGTGTTGCATCAACAGCTTCACCATCATCATCAAAGTTGTGTTTCTGTTCACATGGGGTGGACCTTGGCTTACAGTCATTCATACCAAACTTTTCCACTATTTTTGTAATTAATTTCTTTTGACCCATCTTTATTTCTCCTTTTTCCTGAGTAAAGTCAATGCCTAGGAAATGTTTAAGTTTCCCAAGATCCTTCATTTTGAATTTTGTGCTCAACATTTCTTTCACAGTATTAATTGTGTGAATATCATTAGCTGCGATAACTACTGTAAGTCATCCACCCAAATAATCAGAATGATCCTCTCATTTTCTATTCCTTTACTGTAGACACAGTGATCAGCTGGGTTTTGTGCAAAACCGTTCTCACAGAGATGATCATGCAACATTTTATTCCAATTAAGGTACTTGGACTAAGCCAGTAGCCGGCGATGCTAAGTCTCTTAAAGTAATTCTAAAAGTATTTTATTACTAAAACAGTTAATCTCTGTAAAGTTAGAGACAGTAAAGAGGGCTCCTAAGATTGTACACACAAATCACACACAGCAGGACAGGCTCCCCCAGCAGCTTCTTTAATACTCTGAAGAAGAAACTCTTGTATTTCCTCTTTGGAGAACTTGCCATGGTGAGATAAATACTTCCTGAGTTTGGCTTCAGGTGTTCTGCTCAACAGGAGTGAAGCCTGGACTGTAACGCCGTAGAAACCAGAAATTACATTTATATCCATAAAGTGCTTATACAAAGTCATGGAAAAACATACTGAGTGGACTTTTGACACTGTTGTTTGGTCTAACCCTCAGCCTCTCAGCGCACAATGTGGCAACACAAGGAATGTGAAACTGTACCTGCAGTCTTTTGAGGTTGAAGAGAGCATATAGGAATGACTGTCCAAAGGCTCACAGGCTCAGGTGTAGGGTGTTTTACCCGAGTAAGTTAGTAGACTCTAGTTTTATGCTGGTAGTACAGTGTTTCCAGGTTACAAGACTGAAGACTGGCTAATAATGACAATAATGTTCTTTATGGGCTGTCTCTCTCTCAGCCGTCTGAGCTACTGACATCATGAACCTCATAGTTAAGGTAAGGTTACGTTTCTGTTCACCCCTGAGCTCCATCATCCTCCAGACAGGCTAATAGAGTGGTGCAGGAATGAGTCTTTAAACACGGAAATGAGAAAGCATTTTCCTACTTCCAGTTCCCTCATCTCGAATTCAACGGTTTTTTCTTTTGACTTGTTTTTGGTTAGAAGCCTGAAATAAGGTCTGTGGTTAGCACAAGAAGAGATTTTTGTTCTACGACATAAAATACGCCAGTAAATACCCCATGTGTCATGAAAACAGCTGCTGCTAACAAGTGAACATGGGACTGCTGATTGTCATCATGCTGAACATTAGCCGCCACTATACTAGCTTAGCGGTTATGATGTGAAGTCATGTGACCATGCTGTGTTTTTTTTTATAGCCTTAAGTTAGCTTTTTAATTGTGGCGATTGCATTTCAACAGTTTCACTGTTAGGCTTTAACATTATCCTGCTGAACAGAACGTGAAAGTATGATAAACATGCTTTTGTCAACAATCTTTTTTTCTGAAATATTCCAAAATCCCATTGGCTTTGTTAGATAGACAAGGAAAACCGGGGTTGCTATATGGTTCTTATTTCCAGGTTTAGGACTCATTCCTGCACTACTCTATTTTTTTTATTTTTTTTTTATTATTGTTTATTTGAACCGGGACAGTGCACATTAATGAACATTTTAAACAAAATAATGTTTTTAAATGTAAATGAGTCGGATTTTAGCTTTGAGCTAGTTTCCATCCGTAGTCCCGTCACATACAATGGGGGACAAGAGTTACATTCTGCCTACACTAGTGGGCTAGGTTGTAATTAATAACATCATACATTAAAGGTCCCCTATTATACTCTTTTTCATCAAGATATTATAGGTCTCAGATATATAAAAAAGCATGTCTCTGAAGTGTTTGGCTCGAATTACCACACAGATCTCCCATTGCAGCATCCCATAATCCCCTCTGTTTTAGCCCTGTTTCCAAAGTGCTGATTCTCTGTCTGTTACTTTAGATGAAAATAAGGAGCCCCTCCCCACGCCCCTCTGAGAGATATTTGGTTAAAAATAACACAAAGGTGCTCTAGGAGGAGATTCAGGTGATAAGGTGGGGGGGGGTTACCTTGGTTGGTTATTGGCTAATGGTTACACAAGCCAAAACATCGTTATGACATCATAAAGTGGCCAAAATCTGATCAGCTCACTTTCAGACAGGTTTTTATATAAATGGATCAGGGACAAAAAGTGAGCTAATCTTTTTTCCTGAAACTTTCAGAATCTCTTTTATGTATAAAAGACATGTGGATTTTGCACAATAGGTGACCTTTAATATTTGTTGTGTTCATGGTATTCAACAGTGAAATGATAATATGTTTCTTATATTCTATCAGTTTTAAGGCCCAGACACACCAGGCCGAAATCGGCCGTCTTCGGTTGTCTGACGACGAAGCGTGCCCTGTCGCCCAAAGTCAATTTGGTGTGTCCCGAACCCTCGGCCGTGACACGCCTTATTTGGCCTTTCACGGTCGACACAAGGCCGATTCAACATGTTGAATCGGCCGTGTGTCGGACACAAGCTATCGGGCCAAGAAACCACTCTGATCAGCTGTTCAGCTAGCAAAGTATACTACGTGATCGAGTGGCGCCGAAGGACTGTTTAAATTCCCAGCATTCGGCGCCACTCGATGACGTAGTATACTTGAAATAGTGGCTCTGCAGCAGCTTTACATTGAGAAACGGCCCTGGCCTCTCTTGCAGTAGGCTGGGTCCTGAGAGGAGGACCGAATATCACCCAGCCACCTCAATGTAAACAGCCTGGTGCCTATGTTTGTGTTAACTCCCTCCGTTTTCAATAAACTTTGTTTGTTTTCACCACCCAACTTTATCCTTCCTTCATTTTTAACCCTGTCGTGAGCCCGAACGCTCACATATAAATATTTAATTCAGGAGACATCATTTTTTGCTTAAAGACCATTTATTGAAACATGCGCCATATACATGCGACTATGTCAATAGTCTTTGGCGATTGGACCCCGATCCTGATATCTTATATCTTAAAGGTCCCCTATGATGCAAAATGCACTTTTTGATGTCTTTTATACATAAATATGTATACCCGGTGTGTCAGGGAACTCACAAAGTGTCAGAATATAAAACCCTCTCTCTTTTTCGCTGTACCCAAATCTCTAAAAACGGGGGAACAACGGAGCTGATACAGATTTTCTGCGTCATGACGACATTACTAAAATGTGGGCTGGCTTTACGCCCACGGCCCCATCAGAAACGTTGCTGTCACAAACAATGCGCGACGTGTTTTGGAAATAATATGGTCTGTGTTTGTTTACATTAGCAAGCATTGCTAACACTCAGAGCTAACGCTGTACTGTGTAAAAAAGCAGGATATAAAAAGGAACTCACCTTGTGGTAAACCCGCAAGAGAAAAAGCATTTGAGCTCCATACTGTTTCAGAAATAATGCTTGATGTGGTTTGGAACATGATATGGCATTTAATCACGGCAGCATTTAGCTGCATCTGCCGGCAGTGGCGGTGCCAGGGGGGGCGCTAGGGATAACCCCCAGGATAGCCATAGCACCCCCTAAGCACCCCCAAGAAATGTATGTCTTTTTTTTGTATGTATGAAATTCATACTTTGAAAAAGGATTGATTCGGAAATAATATGCTACAGTACAAGTACAAGTAGCCTACTTCTGGGTCTCTGTGTTTCATTCAAGCTCTGCTCTGTGTGTGTGTGGCACGAGCCATTTTGTGTGCGTGCGCGAGCGAGAGAGAGAGAGCGTGCACCGGTACCGGAGATCGTTGTGGTTAGCATCTGGTGCTAGGTAGCTACGCTAACGGATATAAGGAGCTTTTTCAACAACAAGGTGGAGGGAGGACTCTCTCCTGTCAGACTGAGAGTCTCAGATAACCTCAGTGAGGTAAAGGACTCTCTCAGTGTTTAGATAGTTCACTTTAGTCTAGTTATCTCAGTGGGTCTCAAACGTATTTCTGAGGCACACGTTTACTCTAATAAGTAAAGCGAACGCGCCCGCAAGGAGACAACGCTTTTTGAGTGCGAGGACAGGGTTTGACTGAAAGAAATACAAAATCTGAACGTGAAATCAATAAATTATGCTCTCAAATTGAAAGAACACGCTCTTGAATAAAGATAGGGAATAACCTCCATAACACGGGAAATACTGTTTTCACGCCGAGAGATGTTGTCAACATCTGGGTATTTCTGCACTGGTGGGCCATGTTAACAATACCGTGTAACTGTCACGTTTGAAGGGACGAAATCGTAACACCTCACGTCTCCCAGCGTGGTAAATCGTCACATTTTCACGTCTTGCCGTGATACCGGGTTGAACATATCATATATATTTCTGAAATGGAGCAATCTGCACAATGACTACTTTTATTTTTGGTACTTCAAGTATATTTTGATGCTGATACTTCTGTACTTTTACTTGAGTAACATTTTGAATGCAGGACTTTTACTTGTAACAGAGTATTCCTACACTCTGAATGAGGGGCATGAAGGTTGAGAAGTGTGCAATGTTGGCTAACTAATGCCTGCTTCAAGCTGCACTTGATATTCAAAGTGGCTGAGCTCTTTACTAACTGCTTCTTCTGTCTGCAAGAAACTCCCCATGGGTAAGGACGGCACGCAACGCACATGGTGTTGTGACTCAGTCTGGTTTGTACATAAATAGTTCCTGTCTTATCTTATTACATCAGTGGCCAGTGGCCCTGGGTTTCCTTTTAACACAGTCCTCAAACACGCACTCAAAGGAAACTGTCCCTGAATGACTTTAAAACACAGTGCAATGTATATTTGTTTGCATTTATTGACATTACATTTAAAACAAAAGACAAGTTGTTGTCAGGCCAGTGGCTGAAGCTGGTCCTAATCCATTTCTTCA